CTTGGAGAAATCATGCAACATAAAATGAACTATTGCCAGGATCAGGGGGCAGAGCAGCTATTCAATGCATACACAGTCTAAGCTTTGGGGGTGAAAGGGCTGTAGGAATCTACGGCAAACACTGAGCATAGTTCACACCAGTGAACTAGACTTAAAATGATTAAGACATTTTGTTACATGTCTTCACAAATTTTTTAAATACAGAAATGTGAATAAAATCTGAGTTTAAAACTACTAAGCATAAATATAACTAGGGCCAAGTCTATCAAGAAGATTTGGTGCTTGCTCCACAAGAGAGATTTCATAAGCCTGTGGCTAGGGCAGGTCATAGGCTCTGAGGAAGCTACAACCAGTGCCTTGCTCAGTGGTTGTGATGTGCCCATTAAATTGCCTTCTAAACACCCATGTTGACCGTTTGGCGCTGCCATCTGCTTTGCACAGAGGACCTTCTTTGTGTAGCGCTCACTGACTGCAGAGGCAGATGAGTGGTCAAAGTACTGAGAATAAATGACTGCTGAGTGACCAGCTATAATGGGACATCCGTGTCACCCCTCCAAGGCTCAGGGACCAGCCTGAAAGAAGGGTCTGAAAGAATGTAAGGACTGGAGAGGTGGGGCAGTGGAGTGACGGGGAGTGTTGACTTTAGGAATGACATGGCTGCTGTGTTCTCACACTCACAGCAGCTGGGCTACCCGCAGGAAACAGCCCATCAACCCTGTCATGGAAGGAGGAGAGACTCGAGGGGCACACCCCTCACTAAAGACTTAGTCAGTTAATGGTTGATGAGAAGAGAGAGGCAAAAGGAGCCGATGCTCCCACAAACAATCACATTGAAACTCACTGGGTCATGAAAATTAAAAACCAAGACACAAAAGCAGGGAAACTAGGTGGGAAGAGGTGGTTCAGCAGGACTAGAAGGGGAACAAGAAGGGGTGCCAGGGTGAACATGACTAAGGTACATTATGTCATGTTCCAAAATGCTATAATGATAACCATTGTTATGTATATTTACCATACACTGATAAAAATGTGCCCATAGCACTATGCAATCAGTAAACAATGAATTTTCAGTCTTCTCAAGTTCTGCTTTGTGTTTCTCAGTTGGGAAGTTCGTGGAAAAAGCACAGAGTTCCACCTACATAACTTGCTTTTATTTTTTTCCTTCATCTCCTTCCCTTCCACTCACCCTGTTCGCAGCTCAGGAGCTACTGAAGAAAGTAGGTGAGGGAAAAGTAAGACTCGCTACTCTTTCCCCAACTCCTGCAGTAGTCCATAGCAGGTACAGTGGTCCTAAGAACAATGAGGGGAAAGCTGGAGAGGAGCTCAGGATGGGCCTCATGGAAACTGCACAGTTTACTCCATTTGAGGAACGGAACGGCAGCTCTATCACAGAAAGCAATTATCTCAAAACTCAAGGCTTTCGAAACCACTGAGACGGTCGCGGATACAACTCAATAGCAAAATACTTAAGCAGCATGCACAAGGCTCTGAGCTTTTAATCTTCAGCAACACAAAGAAGAAATAATATTAAATAGAATATTACTATCCTCTCATTCACCATGTGCTAGAACTCATTTCAAGACAGAGGTGACAGAAATAAGGAACATATAACAGACATCTTCTTTACTAGGAAATGAAACAAAAAAAGAAAACGTTTCTCATAAATTCATAACTTAGTCCATTAGAAAGTATCTTATTCTACAGTCTCTCTGAGGTGCTTTTCCATCAGTTTCATCGTGTTGTGTTTCTGCATTTCTGTTCGGGTGAAAAACTGCATAGTAAACACTAAGAAAAATAATCCCAAGGAAAAGAGTGAGAACTATGGCAGCTGTGATAGGGATAAAATAGTCCAAGTTAAAAATAGAGAGAGGGTAAGTCCAGAACACAGCCAAGATTCCCGCAGTGCCCAGCACCCTTACAGTGTAATAGGAAGACATGGGACACCTGGTGTTCTGTCCCTTGATGTTAAAAAACGTAAACACGAGGATGAATCCAACCACGAGCCTATATAAGCATTCCATGCTCACAGAATTACAAAACTGCGTTTGCTTGATAACTGCCCATATCAATCCCATGAGCCAAATAAATAACAACAAAAACAAAGCACTCTTCACGTCTATGAACAGCAGAAGTACGACAGTCAGCATCCACGACAACAAGGTAAACAATTTGTAAAAGAGATAGGTGAGTCTGGGGCAGAGTCCGCTGAGGCGGTTTTTATCGGGCAACGATTTTCTTAAAGCTATTTGAAAATCCACAGTTGACCACGAAATAGCACAGCAGGAAACCATGATGACTGCCCCTACAAAAAAAAAAAAAAAAAAAAAAAGAAGAAAGAAAGAAAGAAAAACATTGGTTTAGGAATGGTAACAATATTATTGGTAATAGTAATGGCATATTCGCGCATGTGCCATGCATACTTTAGTAGCATAGACATACACCAGCACATCAGGTTATTTACCTAGTTCTTTGAGGGTAGATGTTAATATCCTCATATTGCACTATGGGAGCTGAGGTTTTGGAGAAGTATATTACTTGACTCTTACCATGTAACAAGAAAGTGAGATTTGAAACTAAAACCGTCTGAAAGTTGGTATGCTACTCAACACCATCATACTGCTTTAGAATTACCTTAAATAGATTCCATGAGCAACACTTTCAGGAAACACTTATAATTATAAGTCTAGGCTGTCTACATTATTTGGCTTTGACCTTGTACACATATCTAATTCACTGAGAGATAGCTTAATGGGGTATGAGGCAGTCAAACAGAAAGTTTAACGTAAGTGCAGGTCATTAACAAAATCATTTCTCATAACCTGCAGATCCGTAGTCGCCTGAACGAGTATATTTTGAAAATCTCGGAGTTCTGTAGGTTTGCCATCATTGCCTATTTCTGTCCCAGCAAAGAAGCTCCTTACTATTCTGGAAACGCAGGTCATTACTACATCACCGTCAAAGCAGAGGATGGTTTAAAAGGTGAAACATATAGACGAGAAAGTCAGAATGAAATAGTCACAGGGAATATGAGTCACACTGAGTAAGCAGCATCCAAGGCCTATACATGCACAGCCCGATTTCCAATGATATATGTTGATGAAAATGAGCTTTATAAACGCCTTTCTCCTCTCTTGATTGGAACGCTACAGATCTGGACTTAACTTTTTTTTCTTGTGTTTAATTAAAATATCACTTTCTCCTAAGTTGTCCGGTGATGTTCTTTTTAATTTTTTAAAAATTTTTTGTCTGTGGTGTTTCGCCTGAATGCTCCTGGTGCCCATGGAGGCCAGAAGAGAGCATTGGATCTCCTGGACCTAGAGCTACAGCTAACTGTGAGCCATCACACAGCTTCTGGAGCCTGAATCTGGCCACTGGGCAAGAACAGAGAGTGCTCTTAAGGGCTGACCCATGCTTCCAGCATGGTTTTTGTTTCATTTTGTGAAACAGAGTCTTTCTCACAGTGTAGCCCAGGGAAGTTTTCAATTCACATTAACCTGCCTGCCTCAGGCTCCAGAGTGCTAGCCTGACAAGTGTGTACCATCATGCCAAGCTTTACTCTCCACCAAATGAACACATAAGCATAGTTTTAAGAGTTTTACAAGGCTTAAAAAACAACCAGCAGTCACTTTCTCTAGCTTCCCTGGCCACTGAGCTGTAACCCCAAGAAGACATCCCTGTGAGCTCAGCAAACTGACCCTCTGACCTGCACTCTCATACACTCAGCACTCAGGAGGCAGAGGAGGGCAGATCTCTGAGTTCGAGGCCAGCCTGACCTACAGAGCCAGTTCCAGGACAGCCAAAGCTACACAGAGAAACTGTCGTGAAACAAACAACAACAAAATACACATATTGGAAATCTAGTTTTTAGTTTTCTCCAAGGGAGTCTCACTGGGGAAACAAGGCAGCCTTCAGCACAGTCCGTATGCCCAATAGTAGATGGTGGATGGCCAACAAAAAAAGTAATGAACTCAGGGGTATCTTTGGAGGTCCTTGTCTTACAATGTCATGTCAGGATTTTTTCTTTCTTTTTTTTTTTTTTTGATTTTTAACATTTATTTTATTTATTTGTTTGTTTGTTACCTGTAGGTCCTTTGCACAAATATTATGCCTTCTGTTTTTGTCTTCCTGTGGTATCACTGACTGTGCAAACTAGTGGGCTTCTGTGTCTAGATCTGCTCCTTGTCCCCTTTCTTGGGCTCTTTTACTTCTGTATGTTTATTTTGTCCTATTCCAATTTGTTTGTGTTTTTATATTATTATGTTTTAGGGTGTTAGAATCCCTTAGACGCCCGTTTGTTTTCTAAGGAGAAACAGAAAAGGAGTATATCTGGTTTGGTGGTAGGGTAAGGGGGAGTTAAAGGGTGGAAAACCTGGAAAAAGTAAAAGGAGGGGAAAATGTGTTCAGATATATTGGTTTGTTTTTTTTTTTTAAAAAAAAAAAAAGATCAACTGAAAAAAAAAGAATAAAAATAAGAACAAAATTATAACATATACATCCAAAAGTTAACTTGTCACATCATTTAATAGTCAGGTATTTTAAGCAGCCTAAATTAATATAAATAATAAGGCAGCTAGTGAATTGTGGTTTGTCATTTTCAGCATGCTGTACATGATGAGAAGAATGAGGGAACCCTCCCCATGCTGATTTGGACAATTCTGCAGGGTCACAGTTGGATGCAAAACAACAAGCCAATTATGATCTTCTTGGTCTTACAGGAAAAAATAAAACAAAACATGATGTACACTTTTCCCAGGTTCCCTGAAGGACTCTCTAGTCACTGACAACAGTAGTTTCCCTCCTGGGCAGACAAGGAAAGGAACAAGAAGAACAGAGAGAGAGACTGTATCTTTACACATTTCTTAGTATTTAAAACATGTTGCTGAATTTCATTTCTAAAAGCAATTTCTAGGAATTGGAAATTCTAAAACAATCCTTAGATTTCTCATTACGATGAGATCTCAGTGGCACACGTCTAGCCCAGGGTGTTGAGAGACACTTACATTGACTTAAATTTGCCTGGCCACACTCCAGAGAGGCATAGAGCTGAAGAATGAGTTGTGGGCAGCCTTCCAGGTAGGTCTCAAAAAGCCTGAGCATGCTCAAGTCGGTGGTCATGTCTATAGCTTCTTTGTGAGGATCCGTTTGTTCCTCCATAAAATGGCTCGTCCTGCGGCTACGTTTGAAAGCCACCTGATAACCCCTTCTCAAGGCAAACCAATATCTGTAAAGTAAACGTGAGCATTTCTCTTCAGATGCATTAAGACATTAAATGCATTTAAAAGAACTCATAAAAGATTAAAATGTGTATTTGTGAGACATGGATCTTTCAAAACATGTACTTGTATAATTAAATCAAGTTAAATATGTCTATCACATCAAATATTTATTACTTTTTATGGTGAGAATCTCAAAAATACTTCTGGGTCTTTGAAATATGTGTATAATATTCTATTTTATAAGCATCCTACCAGGCAACAGACCTTATTACTTTTTTAGCACCCACTGACCAACTCTTTGCACTTACACATTTTGTGGTTATTACTTCCATATATACTGAAGTAATATATAAGTACAGAAATTTCCCACACATATTCTCCAGGGCATTACCTTATAATCACTTCACTGGCTTCACTGAGATTCAGACCTCATGAAATTTTAATGTCTGTGTGATGTGTCTACTCAGCACAGATGATCATACCTCATTTTTATAATAATCGTGAAATCATTAGGGCTGTTTTCATTTCACAATTGGAAAAGTGGAGTCTGCAAAGGATAAAATGAGTGACTGACACTTATTCAGAGAGCGATGGGCTGACATAAAGTCCAAACTCAGACTCTGTAATCCTTAACCAAAAGACAAGCTCTAACTCAGTGCTTATCCATTTATCTTAACTATATCATGGAACATTTCCTTGCAGAATGTGAAGGCTGAAGAGGATATTGAATCTTTCCCATTTGATTTCATATTTCACTAATACAAGGGGCCTCTGACCATTTTGATAGTAGAGATATAAACAAAAAACCTTCAAAGACTCTTGAAAAACCCCTGCTCAGGTTCTTCTTCTGAAGAACTTTCAAATAAATACTAGATAACAGAATGGAGTTAAAATTCATAATTTAAAAATGTTGACACTTACTTAGAAGCGATCTGAGGCTAAGAGAAAGACAACCAAGACACTACTTCAAAACTTATCAGAACTCTTTATCTACCCTCAGTTTCTTCACACATATGATAGGCAGACAGATGATGGATGGTAAGTAGATGTTAGATAGACATATAGATAAATAAATAATAGATGATAAATGAATAAATAGATAGATAATAGAGATAGATTGATAGATACATACATATAAATACAGATAGATGATAGATAGATAGATAGATAGATAGATTGAAAGATTGATTGATTGATTGATTGATAGATCAAAAAATAATACTCTAAACACTTCATCCACTTATTATATGATCTCCATCCCCAAGTTAATCATGCAACCCCTGACCCATATTATCTCACTAGCCTCATAACTGTTTTTCTTGACTCTATTTTTTGTGGGAAAAGAGCATTTAAATGGAACTCAGAGAACTGCTTTGGAGAGTGGGTTCTCTCCTTCCACCATATGTGTTCCAAGATTCAGACTCAAGCTGTCTGGACTGGCAGCAAGCACCTTTACCTTTTGAGCTATCTTGTCCACCTCTGATTCTATTAATGTTCCTCACATAACCTATTCCCTTTACAACATCTAGACAGAACCCTTTAAATATAATTTGTAGGCCATTCCTCTAGTCAAAATGTTCCAAATACTTAAAACCCCAAGTTCTTACCAAATATTCTAAGTTCCTCCATGACCTGCCTCTATACATACTCTCATCCCTGTCTTTCCAACTTCTCCCACAGTTCCAGTGTGCCTCCTTGCCACTTTTCACAAGTTCAAGGTCTCGGTCTTCACTGCTAAATCTACCTAAAACTTTGCTAAACTCAAGATAGTTTGGCAGTTGGCTCTTTAACTTTACTTAAGTTTCTACCTGTTGCATCTATGAATTATATGCAGTAAGGGCTGTATGCCAGGAAAAGATTAACAACAATGACAGCTGAGTGGTCTGTATCCTCAATGATCTTACACCCCAAAGGAAGTATTAAGAATTTACGCTACTAGCTGCAATATAAGGCAGAAGAAATAAGCAATTATTAGAAATACAAACACCACACTGTGAAAGTATAGTATAGATGAAAAATTATACACTGCCTGGGACTAATTTATAATAGAAAGGTTTACTTGAGACTGTTCTGAGTATCTAACACAACAGAAAATATCTGGTTCCTAGAAGTGATTTATAAACCAGTAGGTTAAATACTATTTTGAAACATGAAAATTGCATAAATATTATCAATTACACACAGAGAGCCTAATTAGCACAGGCAGCAAAGACTGGGAGTGAAGCAAATGCCAATGTTAAGAGTAGAAACTCAGTCGGGTGATGCATGCATTTAATCCCAGCACTTGGGAGGCAGAGGACAGCAGATCTCTGAGTTCAAGGCCAGCCTAGTCTACAGAGTGAGCTCCGAGATGCCCGGGGCTACACAGAGAAACCCTGCCTAAAAATAAACAAGAAATAACCCATCCTCTGGGCTCCATTTTCCATCCCACAACTCCACCTGCTTTCCTGGAAGCCACACCAGCACCAGGCACCCTAGGTAAGACTGGGACCTGGGACCTATGCCCTATGCCCTATGCCCTATGCCCTATTCCTGCCAACTCACTTTAAAGCACACCCAACAGTCACAAACTGCAACCCATCACCTGGGCTTCATATTCTGGGCCACAACATCTTCAAAAACAATATTTGATTTCCTGGAGGTCACACTGGTCTAGAGACCCCAGAGGCAATGTAGGCACCCAAAACTCAAGCAGTCATGCAGGCCACAAACAAACATCTCAGCAGAGACACACAACTTGAACTGAAGAACCCCAGAACTCTAGGCCACTCAGGCCAGAAGACCAGAGAGAAAACAGAAACCAAGGGAAAAAACTCTAACAAAGACAAATTCAAAAATCAGAACCTAAGCTTATAATAACCCCAAAACTAAGATGACTAGGGGCCAGCTTAAGAACATAATCAACAACATCCAAGGCAATATGGCACTACTGGAGCCCAGCTATCCTACTACAGCAAGCTCTGGTTAGTCCAACACAGCTGAATAAATAAAAATTAAAAAAAGAAAGAAAAACAACCTTAAATCCAATCTTATGAAGATGACAGAAGCCTTTAAAGAGAAAAAGAATAAATCCTTTAAAGAAATACAGGAAAGTAAAATCAAACGGGTGAAGAAAATGAATAAAACTGTTCAAAACCTGAAAATGGAAATAGACGCAATAACAAAATACCCAACTGAGAAAATCCTAGAGAAGAAAAAAACTAGAGAAGATAACAGGAACTATAGTCACAAGTATCACCAACAGATCAAAAGAGATGGAAGTGAATCTCAGGCATAGAAGATACAATAGAAGAAATTGATACACCAGTCAAAGAAAATGTTAAATCTAAATTTAAAGCCCTTGACACAATACATCTAAGAAGTCTGGGACATAATTAAAAGACTAAACCTAGAAGATTAACAGCTTAAATATTAGGCCCAGAAAATATTTTCAACAAGATCATAGAAGAAAAATTCCCTAACCTAAAGAAACAGATGCCTGTAAATGTACAAAAAGCTTACAGGACAGCCAATAAATTAGATCGGAAAAGAAAATCCCCCTGCCACACAATATTCAAAACAAACATATAGGGGGGAAAGGAGGTAATACTAAAAGCTGCAAGAGGAAAAAGCCAAGTAACTTATAAATGCAGACCGATTACACCCAACTTCTCTCATCAGAGACTCTGAAAGCCAGAAAGGCCTAGGCAGATGTTTTGCAGACTCTAAGAGACCACAGATGCCATCCCAGACTACTATACCCAGCAAAGCTTTCAATCATTATAGATGGAGAAATGAAGATAGTCTGTGGAAAAACCATTTTAAACAATATCCATCCACAAATCCAGCCCTACAGAAAATACTAGAAGAAAAACTCCAACCCAAGGAGGTTAACTACACCCAAGAAAACAGAGGAAATAAATAACTTCACACCAGCAAAAATTAAAGAAGGAAAGTGCACACGCACACAAACATGTACACATGCATATATATTACCAACATCAAAATAACAGGAATTAACAATCATTGGTCATTTGTCTCTCTTAATATCAATGGACTCAATTCCCCAGTAAAAAGATACAAACTAACAGAATAGATGTGAAAACAGGATCCACCATTCTGTTGCATACAAAAAAACACACCTCAACATCACAAATAGATACTAGAGTAAAGGGCTGGGAAAAGATTTTCCAAGCAAATGGATCAAGAAGCGAGCTGGTGTAGCCATTCTAATATCTAACAAAATAGACTTTCAAACAAAATTAATCAACAGAGATGGAGAAAGATACTTCAAAGGAAAAATCCACCAAGATGGCATCTCAATTCTGAATATTTATGCCCCAAATGCAAGGGCATTCACATTTTTCATAAAAAATTTACTGAAGCTTAAATCACACATCAAACACCATACATTGGGTAGTGGGGAGACTTCAACACCAAGGACAGGTCATCCAGAAAAATTAAACAGAGAAGAAATAAGAAAACTGACCGACGTTATGAATCAAATGAACCTAACAGATACCTATAGAACATTTCATCCAAACACAAAAGAATATACAACTGACTATATACTCTATCACAAAACAAGTCTCAACAGATACAAGAAAATTGAAAAACAAAACAAAACAAAAGCCTATATCTTATCAGACCGCCATGGACTAAAGCTGGACTTCAACATCAGAAACAAAACAAATCCTACAAACTCATGGGAACTAAACAACTCTCTTTTCAGTGACCATTGTGTCAAGGAACAAATAAAGAAAGGAATGAAAAACATTCTAGAATTCAATGAAAATGTAGGCACAACTTACCCAAGCTCATAGGACACGAGAGGAGCAGCCTTGCTAGGCCACAGAAGAGGACATGGCAGCCAGTCCTGAAGAGACTTGATAAGCTAGGGTCAGATGGAAGGGGAGGAGGTCCTCCCCTATTAGTGAACTTGGAAAGGGGCAGGGAGAAGATGAGGGAGGGAGGGTGGGATTGGGAGAGAATGAGGGAGCGGGCTTTGGCTGGGATACAAAGTAAA